CCGCCTTTCGAATGGTATAGGTTACATTCCAATTCGTATTTCGCAATTCGTGCCATCTCCTTGTAAGTCGAAAAGTCCTCTACCATTTTGCAATTTTCGCAATAATTAACAAGATATTAATGAGGGTAATTCCAGTATATACGCCGCACCTATCAAAAATTTAATTTATTTAATATTATTTACTGTGCTTATAGTAAACGAACTATATCAGCAAAAACTTTGTATTGTCTACTATTATGAAAAAAATATTAGAAATCCGAAATATTTTTATTTTTCATATTAAAAAATAAACTTTTTGAAACCCTTGGATTTTTGCCATATATCCCATGGGAGTGGGATATACGGTTACTTATAGGGGGTGGGGGGAGGGGTATGGCTCATGACAAATTTACAAATAATGCATATAAATAATGCGTATAATGACACAATAACTTATAAAATGTATTTATAAAGTTTTATTATTGAATAAGAATGGTAAATATGTATATGAAGTAATAAATAATAATTACAATCTTCCTACGTATATTACAAGTGTTATGACATGAGGTACATATTTCATATAATGCGTTTATTGCATTTAGTGCACTGAATTCAATCTGCGCACTTTGTATGTTTTGGGCATAAATCCCCCTCGCTAAAAATGCCGTATACCCCAAACAGGTGGGATATACAAGACAACAAACTAAACAAAGAACACGAAAGCAAAGCACTTGTATTTTGCTATACAACATGCTTTACTATTCCATTACACTTATGTATCACGAAATAACCACCTAAATCTTTTACACGCCCTACAGTAACCATTTTACGTAGACTTTAATTTAAGATGACATTACTTATTACAGTGACAAATCGATTGAACTCACAATAATTTCATTAAAATTAACAGTAAGAAACTGAAATCATAACACAATTCGATTTTATTTTTCAGGTTATTTCCCCAGAGAGACAATACCTCTCTGGGGTAGTACAACAATAAGCGGCTATGCCGCGCGCCAATAAAAATATATTTCTTGCGGGGGACAAGGGCCCCCCCC